TTTTTATTTTACACAATTTTTTTGTCCTGGAAAGAAATAAACGCCCGGGCTTTTATTTGAACATTTACGGTAAGTATAATGTGTAATGTAAAGTAATCATACATTAATTGGCATTAATATTTTCTAGGCTCATACTAGCATATACTTGTGCTGGTATATTACCATCACAGTACTGCCATATTTTGATCGGCATTACTTGGTACAGTTGGGAAGATGTACACAACTACAGGAAGCTTCTCACCATCCCCATATCCATTCAACTCTGTTATTGTATATGCTTAATAATTTAGAATAATATAATTTTTGTATTTACTACTTCCAGTGGATCGTTGAATGTTGCAACTGCTACCAGTACTAGGATCTGATTGAGGACCAAGTGGGGGTCTTTTGCTGTAACCACTTCTACTTGATGAGGGTGGCTGATAATTGGTAGTCGGCAAGGCCTTCTGGTCCCAGTGGTGGCAGTTCCTGGGCTGGTTTTTTATGTAGTAATGAGGTCTATTCCTTTGCCACTATCACTTATAACCTGCCTGACAGCATTATTGACCATGTTTGTTAGGCTGTTGACAGATTTTCAGAATATACAATATAAATATTTGATAATAATGTAAAAAATTATTACTTCAAGTCAATTATACCATTTCTCTTCTTGCCATGCTTTCTACCTGTGCTTGTAGGTTAACTCTCTCGCCTTTACTAATTTTAATGTTTTTATAATGCATTTTGCTACTGATTTAGCCATGATAAGAACAGTGCCAGTGCGGGAGCCATTTTGTTATTTTCAAATGTGGCCACCATATTGTACCCAGGGCACCTCCTTTTATACGGTGACAGGCGGAAGCGATTCTATGACGCCGCATGGATAGTTTTATAGTGCACCTTCTTCTTTAAGTAAGACCACAGTTGACATACATGTACATGTACATGTATATACATACAACATATCTAACAGGCTATAGGCAGTAAAGAATAGACTAATTTACTTAATTAATGAGCTTTAATTAATAACCTAACGAGATATGCTGTGCACATTTGCATGTACAATAGGTGAATATGAAAAAACCTACATGTACATGTACATGTACATGTACATGTACATGTACATGTACAGTTTATAGTAGAATGGTAAATTGTGAGCATTATAATGTATCAAGTGATTTTTACATCAAAACTTAAAGACAAAAGGTTACGAAAAATTATAACTAAAAACCCTAATAAATCCCTCAATCACAAAAATCATATCAAAAAATATTAATATAAATACTGTACGTGTATATCATTGAATATTTATTATACAGAGCTGTCCAGGATCAGTTTTCAAACTCAAGAGTTAAGTTTTGAATTTCTCAAAGCGCTTCCTCATTGCATCTAAATCTTCATCAGGAGGAGGAGGTACATGTGGGGGATCACCAATGTCTTTACCTTTAATTGGATCACGTCTGATCACAGCTACAAACGGTACAGCTTTCCTAACAATCTTACCTTCTCTCTTAATCTGAAGCGTTGCTATTATGTACCAAAACATTTTGTGTTCTGGATTATACACAACCATTTGACGATTGATATCGCCAATTTCTTTTCGGCTATAAAGTATTGCCATGATATAATGCATAGCAAATAAAGAATCAAAAGAAGAATAGAAAAAACGGACAGCTTCATCTTCATCATTAACTAGGAGTTTATCATTATTCATAAGACGTACGTTATTTTCTGAATCGGCAGAGGTTATTCTTAGTGCCCGTCTATTATACTTCACACCTTTACTATCTAATGGGCAATGTGGCTCAAGGCCAACAGCTCTCAGTAAAGCAAACCTCATTACACACTGGGCAGCTCTTGCAAAATCATAAGGTTTGTCCCATTGAGAATTAGTGTTCTCCTTGTCGTGCCAGATACAATCAGCCTGTACTTCACAGTAGCCAGTGGGCTTCATTTTATCACGATTATCCTTACTCCAAGCAAGGATGTCCTCAAAGTTGTGACTAGTACTTAAATAGTACTGGTTCCCATTAGGGCCTGTTGCCATTACCAAGACTGAATCACAAGTTAGACAAAAAATACAACGTGGCTTTGTGGTGTACCACTATTAATGGACACGTGATTATAACATGACTACAACTAACATAACCAGCTCACCACAGTAGAAAAAGAAACCTTAACTCAGTATAACAAAGCCTAACATACACATATGTACATGTAGATGCACATTGTACAGTATGCACACTGCACAATGTAAGACTGACTAAGACATGTGAAATTGTACACAAAGATTCTTTCCAAATTAAAAGTGATAGAGTAGAGTCAATACATGTACTTTTAAAATTCTACAAGTTGTTGTACAACATGTACAAAATTCTACAAGTTGCTAAATTTACAGCAATTAACAGTTTCCAACTTGAGTCCATGTGCCATTAGCATGTGTATGGTCCAAAATGGTGGATTTAATTTTAAAATACCAAAATCATTAATTATTGGCTATACAGTACATGTAAATTTTTTGGGTAAATTACATGAACATGATATTGTTAACTGACCTGGAGTTCAAAGGTGGCACTGACTGGTTTATGGTCACTGATGATCATCTCCGGGTGAGAGAGGTAGGAGAGGTTCTTAATGTGACTCATATCATCACAATAATAGAGAATCCTGTCACACCAGGCAGGGGCTCTGTTCTTCTCTGATGAGTCCCAACTGTTAGTGGACGGGTCAAACTTGTACGTTGGTTTGAAATCAATGGGAGGTTCTTTAAAGTGAGTGAACGCTTCTCCTCTTCTCTGCTGCTGCTGGAGCTGATCGTGCTGAAGCAACTTATTGAACTGGTAGAGATCAGCCAGTGCCTTTATGATCTCAGTACTGAAATCAACTGAAGTTTGGATACGATAGTTAAGATCACCCATCCATATGATGAAACTAATAAATAATAATAATAATAATAATAATAATAATAATAATAAATGTGGGGGTGTGGCTTACTTATGATCCATTATTCTATAAGAAAGTTCCGAGTCTTTAAAGAAACTGATCTTATCATAAATATCGTGATAATTCTAAAAATAAAAATAAATAATTAAATAAATAAATACACTGTAAGTACATGTACACAGTACTAACCTGGTTCCTTTTCTCCACCTCATCAATGTGTGCTGCCAAGTGAGTGTTTACTATACATACTGAGGAATGGTATATGTTGAATCTGATAGCCACACCTCCTTTATTACCCTGTAAACCACACCCAACAATTAATAAATGTATAAATTATGAATAACATGTACATGCAATTAAGTTGCGTAGAAGTTTGCTACATCTTTTACAAATTTTTAAAGTCGAAATCAGACAAAAGTCCGTGCTATAGTACATATACACATGGTCTTGGGCCAAAATTCTCCAAAAATGACAAGTAAAGAATTACATTTTCTGATGCATATACATGTTCTTATGTTGCATAGAAAGTTTGAGCTGATTTTGATCAATTTTAATTTTTTTTACAAATTTTTTTAAAGTTGCTCAAAAGTAAGATTAGATCTACATACTGTTCAATGGATGGAATGGGAGAATGTACTGTACGTGTGATTGTATCATTAACTCACAAAGTGTCCTCCTACCAGTCCACAAGGTACATAGTTATAGTCCACACTGGAGACATGAGGGACCAGCTCCTCCTTCACATACACTAACAATAGTATACCTACCAACCTCACCACTGATATCTGGAGGAGGGGGAGAGAGAGAGAGTGAGGATTGTACATGTACGACAACTACACTGTACATGTATACATGTACATTTATCTGAATTTCAATTCGACCAATCATTACGGCTTATACTGTAAGAATATGTTACTGTATACCGTATAGTGGGTTTTTTCGGGGATAACAAATTTCACGAATTTCGCGGATTTTTTCATGATTTGCGAAATTTAATTCCTTGAAAATCAATTTAATACGGTACAAGATGGCATATTAGTGGAAATTCATGAAAATTGATTCCATAAACTTCCGGATATGGGTCATTTGTGAAATTTATTATCCTAAAAAAAAATCCGCTATACGGTACTATAGTGGAGGCTATTTTTTTTACTTTTTTGAATTTCCCGGCCATTTTAAGAGATGACTCCACCAGATCAATCCATGGCTCCTCTCGACTGGTTTCATTCCTTAGCAACGCCTCAGGACTGAGATCCAACTCTTGAAAACTATTAATAAATAAATAAATAAACAAACAAATAAATAAATAAATAAATAAATAATGATGAGATTGTATGTTTACCCGATAGCAAATATGTCTGGTATTGTTTCCTGATACACAAGCCACTTGTCCACCCTCTGTATAGGATACTGTCCATTGACATTCCAAGTACCACAAAATAAACTAATAATAATAATAATAATAATAATAATAATAATAATAATAATAATAGAACAATTGGAATTAAATTCAATTAATACATAGCCGGTAATATTAATCAATGAATTTTCAAAGCTGCTCCAAAATGGAATAAACCACGGGCTATAGCCTTGGGTATTTTTCAAAAATTGTCTGATTTTTTAAAATGGCCATAACTCAAATATTTCTTGTTGGAATCAGCTCAAACTTTCTACACAGCATAAGGACATCAATATGTATCAGAAAATGTAATAAAAATTTGGGGTGATTTCGGAGCCATTTTTTGGAAAAAACCATGGGCTATAGCCTTGGGTACTGTAGCTTGTGTTACATTCTTGGCTGCTCATTATTATTACAATTTTCCCTGCACTGAGCAATTACCAATTAATTGATATTACCATTATTACAAATATAACCCCACCTACTGTATGGTACACATGTACATGTACATACTATTACATGTACATTACATACGTCAATGGTTCCCTGACACAGAAGTCATTCTCTCTCTCGTGTAGTTCCCTTTGTATCAAACAGTCTCTCATGGATCCTTTCAGGAGGAGGACCCCAGGGTGATATCTGGAGACCCACTTACTGTTACCATCCACTGGAGCAGCACCAGGAGACTTGGACTATGAAAGACAAGAAAGAAACATTTAAGATAATACATGTACATGTACAGTATGTGTACGTCAAGATAAAACATGTACATTGTATTGGTATGTTAAGATACCGTATAGTGGGTCTTTTTCGAGGATAATAAATTTCGCGAATGACCCATATCCGGAAGTTTGCGGAATTAATTTTCGCGAATTTCCACTAATCTGCCATCTTGTATTGTATTAAATTGATTTTCAAGGAATTTAATTTCGCGAATCATGAAAAAATCCGCGAAATTCGTTATCTTTGAAATTTCCCGCTATATGGTAATACATGTACATTGTATTGTGAGAATTGTGACATTAACATTAACAAAATTAATGATAATATTTTAGAGGTTTGGATCAATTTAACTTTTTAAATAATCATTTACTAAATTAATACACACACTATTACAATTACAGTGTTGCCATGACAACAATAAGCTCCACCCACCTTCTTCCCGTGAAACTTGTTGCTCTTAGTCTGTGGACTGGAGATAGACTGAGAGGTGACAGTAGGAGCTGATATGTGGTGAGGGGACCGATGGGACATGTTCTTTGGTACACTGGCCGGTACAGGAAGTGGGCGTGTCTCTACCCCGCCCCCAATGGTATTAGCAGTAGATGAAGCTATAGAGCCGCCCTGTCTCATCCTTCTTTGCTTGTAGTCCAGGACTTCATAAGAATCAACTGGTCTCCGTTCATCAAGGTCATCAAGAGAGGCTGTCCTTTTAATGGAGGATCCACTGCCCTTCCTATCAGGATGAGCTGTTGGGGTCATCTCCAGTTCAGAGAAACTGTTCACTAGAAAGAAATTAGCTTCATCCTCCACCTCCTTCCTCCGCCACACCTCATCCTCTTGGGCCACGCCCTCTTTATTGAAAGGATTAGTGATCTCCGATGAAGGACTGGGCATTAAATGGAATCCTTGAGGTCGTTCCCGTGAAAACCGAGGTGTGAGGTTACCAGGTGAAGGTGTTGATTCTTTAACGCTCCGTCTGCGGATTACGCAATCATCAAGAGTCTCTTGAGATTGGGCGGAGGCTAAGGGGGAGAGGCCAAGAGGTGTGGCCAACCTGTGCTCTAATTGGAGTTGCGATATGTTAGTTTCTGATAAACACGGTCTGACTGGTTTGTCAAACGGGATCAGCAAGGGAGGCCCTCTGGGGTCTGCCCCAGGGGGGACTGGGGGGTCGTATGGTAGGCGGGGCATAGATTGGGGAGTGGAGGTTTCCATGGTAACGACACAGGAGGGAGGAGAGAGAGAGGAAGTGTTATTCCTCAGCGGATCAAACTCATCAATGGAGGGCCCCTGACCACGCCCCTCATATGACTCACACACTAAAAGAGAGGGAAAGAGGTACATGTACATGTACACAAGTGGCAATAAATGTACTTAAAATTAGACAACAATTTCAATAATTTCCACCTGCACATGTACATGTACATATTAATAACTGGTATAACATAATAGAGTATGTTCATGAACTAACTGGCTAGGTCAGTCCTTCCATCAGGTCTGGGAGTAATGATGTGGCCCCAGGGCCAATTATCTGTTAACGGAGAGATAATTAACACATGTACATGTACGTGTACTTAAAGTTTGAACTGATTCTAATTATCAGTTTCTTGGCAATAAAGATATAATGTAAGCCAAAACACATAAATACACATGTACATGTACACATCAATATAAAGATCATGTATTAATGCTACAGTACATGTATATGTGAGTGTGCATACTGACCAGGGAATCCAGACTGTATTTCTTCAGTGTTGGCTCCTCCCCCAGCCCCGCCCCCTGGAGTGCTGGTGGTGCTTGGTTTAGAGAACCTGTCCCAGCCAGTCCGACACATCTGGTACCCGTCCAACCACTGGAACTCAACCGGACTCACACCGGCTTTAATGGAGGATACTACATTAATAATAATAATATAAATACACCATGTAATTAATAATAATAATATAAATACACCATGTACTGTAATTAATAATAATAATATAAATACACCATGTAATTAATAATGATAGTACATGTACCGTATTTCCTTAAATAAAAGCCCGGGCGTCTATTTCCTAAAATATTATTTGGATCTCGAAAAAATATATAAAAAATAAAAAAACTTAAGCCCAGAGCCAGGTTCGAACCCGTGACCTCTTGCTTTTGACTTCTGGAACTTCAGGCATGATCCACTAGACTACTGAGTCACTCCTGGGCTAGTGATGCGTACACATGTATTTATATTTAAATTCTATTGCTACCCCGGCGTTTATTCGAATGCGGCTTCTATTTAAGGATTTACGGTACATGTATAGCTCTAGAAAATATAGTGAAGTGAATCAAGTGATATTATGGTGAAGTTGGAAAATTGAAGTCTCTGCCAAAATTTATATGCAAAATTTTGCCAAAATTATAACTACAAACCTCGTTTAGAGTCAATTTAAATTTTAAATGTAAATATTCCAAATTTTCTAAATGTACATGTATTCATGAATAACTTACGATACTTGTCTTTAGCTAGTGTCAATTGACTGAAGAAGAGTGCTGTATGAGTATCATAAGGTAACAGGAACACGTAGGTCTCTCCATGAAAGTTGATCTCCACATGACAGCCAGCTGGAGTGGAGGAACGGAACACAGAAGTGAACATACCGTATATCGGGAGCAACATGTGTATGGATAAACTACCCAAATGATCCACCTGAAACACAAACAGACTGAGAGGAAGAGAGAGAGATAAGTGGATATAATGAAATTAAAATGAATGATTGTAAAAGGATAAGAACATTAAAATAAAATAAACAAAAACTAATTAAAAATAAACACAAACTATTAGCATTGCCTCTGACTCACGCGTGTTCTGCTGTCCCCTCGTGTTTAACTATACCAATGACTCTCTCCTCATTTGAATTAACCCCCAGGAGCTTACCCCGGATCATGTGAGAAAGGGAGAGAGAGAAGGTTGAATGAGTTAAGGAAATATACATGTGCCCTGTTGTATTGATTCAGTTTGAAAGTAAACAATAAACAATGTATGAACATATAAACACAAACAATACTTGAATTATAAACAATACTTGATTCACGTTGACAGCATAGCAACAGTAGGAAAACAACTCAATTACAAAGTGATACTGTCCAGTGATTCACACCATTAATGAACTAACCTCACTATTAACATAGAGAGAGTATGTTACAAGAAATATGTACAATAATGAATAAATACATGTTTAATACTTTAGTAAATAGTAAACAAACAAACAAACAAATAAATAAATACGTATACATGTACTTATTAGGCAATTGACATGGAGTCACATTCCAAGAAAGAAACTATTTCCTACTTGTACTCGTACGTTTAATTAGGAACCCTCAAATCAAGAATCGGAACAAATTGAACAAATTTAAAATACATGCACTGAACCACACACACACACACTGAGGGTAATGAGGTATATTAGTGTAGACATTAATGTAACTGGAGGATATGAATAGGCAGGTATCCGTTGGTCTCAGTAACTGCTGTACTGATACCCTACTCATCTTGAAACAAGAACAAGAACAACCAGGACAAGAGCAACCAGAGCTGGTAACCAGAGCCTCCTACAGTGAACTAGCAGTACAGGGACTGAGCCTCTAGCGGAGGAGAGGAAGGGAAAGCTTCTTTGAAAACTATCAGAGACAATCTAGTCCTGAGCTTCTGCAGAGAAATTGAGCCTCTCTTGCTGTAGTGGGTGTGGCTAACTAATTAATATAGTTTATATCTGCGCATGCGCAGGACATTCCATGGGGTCATTCAAAAATACAGGGCCCGGGGCAGCAATTTGAATTTTAGCCCCTAAAGTGGGGGACAAATTTTAAGCAACTATGTTAGCTGTAGTTTCACCAATGACTGATCCTGGTTGTATTATCAATTCAATGCATTGATTAATATAAAGTGATTGTATTTTGCAGTATCTTCAATTGTTCAACAGTTAAACTATTATTTAAAACACTGCAATCATAATCTTCATCTTCATCACCAGCTCCTCCATTATTAGTATCATCACCAGTGAGTCCTTGGTTACTAGTAGTTACTGATGGACCCTCTCTCTCAGTCACTGATACATCAAGAACCGACTGGCCACCAGCTGGTAGAGCACCCAATGGAACACTGTACCAATCTATACCTGATATAATAATGATGATGATGATGATGATGATGATAGGAGAATAGAGTTTAGAGCATAACAATCATTTATTATACAGTCTGCAGTGACAGTCATAGGCCAATAGGCCATGAATGAACTTAATATTAACAGAATAATTGTTGCTACGCAAAATTCATAAATGCACCTGTACATGTACAAGTATGTTAATACATGTCATGTTAAAAGGTGCATCATTCTTCCTGCCAGTACCTGTTGCTTTCCTCCATATTGTGTCTTCTTCCTCTTCTTCTGCCGCTGGACTGGAAGAGGTACTGATTGAACTGACCTTGTGTCTCTTAGACAACTCAGCCTCTAACCATTCCAGTTTCCTCTTGTACGAGAAGGAGGAGGTGTGGTCAATAAAGGAGGAGGAGGCGTGGTCGGTAGAGACAAGAGAGAGAGGAGGGAGGGAGGGAGAGATGGACTGAGAGCGAGAGACAAGAGAAGACAAATGAAGTAGGACATTAGCTGATCCATTATAAGAAGAAAGCTGAATTAACCTGTCATTAATAGAGAAGGAACATTAAACTAATAGTAATGGACATACTAATAGTGACTCATGCTTTCATAGAACATTGGAATGTACATTAATTGACTAAAATCACTGTACTATAGTACAGGGACTTTTGTCCGATTTTGGAGCAGCTTTTAAAATTCGTAAAAAATTCAAACTTGATCGGAATCAGCTCAAACTTTCTACACAACATAAGAACATGTATATGTATCAAGAAATTACCTCTCATTAATTAAGTAGGTATAAGGGCCTGGATTATTAATAGAAGTCATTAATAACTGATCATAATGAACTGGACCAGCCATTAATGATGAATCAACTGATAGATCTAACAAATAATTAATAATAATTAATAATATACATCACCATCACCTATTTCAATGAATCCACTTGATGATGTAACGTTATTAGTGTTACTATTAATAGTATCATCATCTAATAATAGACCAATCCACCCGAGTAATAATAACTGAATATCAGCAACTAATGGAGAGAGAGAGAGAGGGAGAGAGAGAGAGAGAGAGAGAGAGAGAGAGAGAGAGAGAAAGAAATTTTGCTAATAAATGGACTAATGTAATATCTGCTTCATTCTACACATGACACGACTATCTACAGCACAGTACATACAGTAATACCTTCTCCATCATTCAGTGCAGTTATTAATGATTCCAGTATACTAGTCTTTGCTGTAGTGCAGTGACTCCCTATGGAGGAGAGGAGGGGGCTCCACCCATCAATTAATGAAGAGGAGAGAACTGGAAAATCATCGGGTACTTCATCATAAGGTAACACTAAAACCATAAAGAAATATTAAAAATAATGAAATACTAATAATAATAATAATCACAATATGAATCAGCTCAAACACAGCATAAGGACATGAGTCATTATGTACATGTATACTACAGCTACATATGTACATGTAATAAATGTGTAAGTTATAAAATTAGGCAAAAATTGTTCTTCATCCATTTTATTAATTATAGTTAATTAACTAGTTAATAACTAACTAGTTTCATCCTCCGATAATGAACAAAGAAACACTCCAGCTTTAATGAGTTTAATGAAAATACTACAAACAAATAAATAAATAAATAAATAAATAAAATTATCAATTAATATACTTTTTGTCACTTTTTGTTCTCAATTTCTTGTAAATTCTCTTCACAGCGTTCTGTCTTTTATGAAACCAACCTCTCCTGAAACTCATTAAATATTCATTGAAATCAATTAATAAAGACTCCAATTCATCTAACAAACACCAAAATAAATAAATAAATGTATATACATTGCTATTACCAGTTGGTTTCTCAATCTGTTCCTTTTGTTTATAAGAAATAACTTGAAGGGAAGATTGAGGAGGTACCTAATCAATGAATACACATTACATGTACATAACATAAGTACTCTAATCAGTAATCACCATTGATCCATCATCATCATCATCATTATCATTATTATTATTATTAAATTGTTGTTCCCAGTAGTTGATCCTGATCCACTCATAAGCAAACATTACCCCGTCAGTTAATACTGATAGAGAAGGAAGGACCTTGTGGGTACACTCATGACGCACTGTAACTAACCATGATGGGATACCCAGCTGTGGAATTATATTAATTATTAATTAATAAATACTTCCACTTACTCTATCAACAACATTATATATTGCGTGATTTTCATCACCATAGCAACGACCGAAATCAAACAAACCATTAATGAATCTGAAAATAAAATTTACAAAAATCATTAACAGCCCCACCCACTAATTAATGAACCCACTTTGTAATGAACATTGCAAATGATAATGACACCACATCTCCATGACGACACCCACTGGTAGACTCCTCTTCCTCCTTCAGTAATAGACAGTTGACTATATCAGCAGTATACTCAACTGCTAGGGGAATGACTCCTCTGGCCTGCCAAGCACTCACTCTATGGCAGCCACGCCTCCTCTGAGAGGAGTCCTCACTGTACAGCCAGTTCCCTACAGTCTTCAGTTCCTCCTCATTCCCCCAGGGGGTGTATAGGGACCCGTGCTCCGTCCTCTCACTGGAGGACAGGTACTTCATGTGGGGCCTCTTTCTCCAAATACTCAGAGCCATGCTTTGTAACCATATAGCCACACCTTCTGACCACGTTGTTGCACGTTGTTTAAGTATACTGATATCCGTATACTCTCTAATCAAGCCTAGCCTCTTTTGCAACAGTTGGAGGTGTGGCTAGAGCTTAGCAATCAGGAAATAAGACCAATAGATAATAAAGAATTATTTATTTATGATAAGGAGTCATTAGCAATGGAGGGAGCCTGTGCCTGTACTATTAATGAGATGGTGTATATTCTGTGTGGGAGAGACAGCTCTACTCTTGAGTCTCCTACCAGCTTCAAGATAAGGACACTAAACACAGACACTCACCAATGGAGCCAGCTATTAACTGAAGGAGACACTCCCTCCTTCACAGCCTGTTCCACCTGTGTACTGATAGGTCATTGCATATACACCTTTGGAGGATGGGCCCGTGGTATAGTCACTAACGATGTTCATCAATACAACATTACCAGTCAATCCTGGAGAGAGCTGGAACCAACTGATAGATCACATGAGCCGATGATGAAGAATAAACATGGGATGGTCACCCACGGCAATGCTTTATTGATATTCGGAGGCTACGGTTGTCCTAAGGTTGGGTCTAAGTTTCAAGAAGGAGCAGGCTATGTGTTTGATGTCCAATCACTTTTGAGTACTTTGATGTGGACTAACGAGCTCCACTTGTTTGATATAGAAGAAAGGAAGTGGGTGGAGCCTGTCATCACTGGACCACGCCCTAAACCTTGTGCAGCATTCTCGTTCAATCGTATTGACACTGATAGAGTGGTCCTGTTTGGAGGGAGACAGAAAGAAGAGAGAGTCAATGAGCTACATATACTGGACACTAGCAACTGGGTAAATTTATGTGAGGGGGTCCGGGGGGAAGTATTATTTGTGGCCCCCGGGGGGCATACATACATGTACATGTATACAGTTATTGTTATTATTAATTGTGTTATTGTTTAGTGCTGGAGTGGTGTTCTTTTGCCAGAAGGACCTGATGATGTTTGGCCCAGTAAAAGATCATTTCATTCTGCCAGTACAGTATTCGACCCACAACTAATCAATAATAATGATAATAAAGGTATTTATACTTGTTAATATATTATAATAGACATTACTTTGTTTGGTAGGTTTGAATGAACAGCACCTGCTGGTTCTGTGGGGTAATGATAATGATGGAGAGATAGTGTCTGATTGTTGGATATTAGAAATAAAAGGGAAAGAGACACAGCATGATAACAGTCACCATTATAAGTGGAGGAGAGTGAGTCCTTGTATTGTACTGTACTCTACTATAGTTTATTGACATTTTATTTCTTGTAAAGTTTGTGGCTTGAGCAAGTTGGTTCCATGTACATGCAATGATTGTAAATGAAAATTAATTTACCAAAATTACCTGCTATACAGTATTTTATTATGCTTGCCCCCTAAATGTTCACATTCACTTAGTTATTATTATTATTATTATTATTATTATTATTATTATTATTATTATTATTATTATTATTATTATTGTAGTTTCAGTTTCCAGTACCAGTTCGTGGTAGAACTTGGCAGTCAACTGCTTCAGTTTACAATACTCCATCAGTAGGAGAGACTCTACTGGTAACTGTGGGAGGGTCTTTTGAGAATATATTCATTAACGAGGATCCGTTGATGGCTGATAGTACAATAATAATGAGATTTGGTAAGTAACATTTTTGGTAATTTTCATTTCGAAGTAATATTAATCTAAAGCATGTTGGTTTCACCTAAAATTGGGTTTTCCACAGGATTTTAAGAGACTCCTATTACATTGTCTGATACATATACATGTTCTTATGTTGTGTAGAAAGTTTGAACTGATTCCAATCAAATTTAGATTTTTTACGAATTTTTGAAGTTGCTCCAAAATTGGACAAAAGTCCCTGTACTATAGTACAGTGATTTTTACGAAATTTCACCAATTTTGAAAAGGATCGAATTCTCAATTTTTATTACATTTTCTGGTACATATACATGTACTTATGTTGTGTAGAAATATTGAACTGATTCCGATCAAGTTTGGATTTTTTACGAATTTTTAAAGTTGCTCCAAAATCGGACAAAAGTCCCTGTACTATAGTATGGGGAATTTTGCCAAATTTGAAAGGTAAAGAATTTTTCATTTTTATAATTTTCCACTTCAAAGTGAGCAAGACTTAACTAAAATTTGGTAATTTTTACCTAAAATCAGGTGACATTATTTATTTATTGGCTGGCAATTAAAACTGCAAAAGTACCAAAATTAAACTACCCCGGTAGCTATTTTATTATTTTACAGGTTGTCCTTCTTTACAAAGATTGTGTCACTTATCTGTGTTGAAGATGTTTCCTGATCTGTCATTAATAAATGAACTATTACCCATTCATATTATTAACGAACTAGAGTCAATCAAATATACTTCAATCATTTATGAAGTGCAATGAAATAATTTAATTTTTTTGTTATTTTTAAATTTTGTGTTTAATAATTGTTACAACATCATACCATCAATATGGAGTGTAAATAAGTGACAGAGTACTCTTGATAAGTGTAGTGCTACCAGACACATGTGATCCCAACCACCATCCGTCATTAATTATAATGAAGTGTGAAATTATTTATTATTATTCTTATTGCAATAAATGCTATTCAATGATCACAAGTAAAACAAACATTATACTACTACAGTCCTCAATACAATAACAATTAATAAATAATAATAATAATAAACTTTGAAACGCTTACTGAGCATAAATTGTAACTATATCACTACCAGAAAAAAAATCATATTTACCTACATATAAATATCCAACTAAATATTGCTTAATTACTCCTTCAGGTACAACAGTATCTAGCCTCCACTGGATGCCATTAAGAATATTGTGAGGTAATTGTTGATAAGTAGCTGCAGTGTTGTCTATTAATGGAATATTTTTATTCAGATAGCTTGCAAATATTTTAGGAAAATTTGGTTTGAATTTATCAAACTTTCCTTCATGAAATGCAAGTAATACAAAGTAATCTTCATCAAAACTTCTCATCAGTCTAGCTGACATGTGGTAACCACATGCATTCGTATAAAAATGAACTACTTTACCTACAACATCAACTGGTAATAATGGATAGGAATCATTAGCTATGACAGAATGTATATTAAGAGTTTCAAACTGTAACATTTCTACTTCTTTCCTCATTTCTTGTCTTATTTGTTCATTTTCTATTTTTAGCTTCACTACTTTTTCTTCCAATTTATTATTTTCTTTCTTCAATTGTCCACAAGCTACAGCTAATAGTGTCATGTGTTTAGTATCAGCAGTGTGTACATGTACATCTTTACGTAATGGCTTATCATTACAACCAGCCCAACTAAACACACAATCTACTGGCTCTAATGGACACTCATTGATATGAGCAGTGAGACTACCTCGTGGCATATTAGTAGATGAACATTTATTGGGACAAGTAACAGGATACTGCCTGCATTCCTCATAATGATCCTTTGTAATAGAGAGGAACGTACCTTTACTCCTGCAGTATGGGCATAGAACTAGACGATGAGGACATTCTCTATATTCATGATCCTTAAAATATCTACGTTGCTTTCTCTCTTGACATTTCTCATATCGACACTTTACTTTTTCATATTGGCATTCTCCTTCTCTCTTCTCTTTATTAAGATGAGTAGACATATTCTTCAATTCTCCTTTCCATTCACATCCTTTCTCCTTATTACTGCAGTAGACCTCCAATCCATTGATAATACGTGAACACTTCTTGTCAGGTATTGCTTGATATTCCTTCTCTTTACACATAGGACAGAATCCATTACTAGCTTTTACTCTCTCAATGCAGCTCCTACAGAAATTATGTCCACAGCAGCTCACCAGATGAGGATCTGTCAAGATACCACGACAAACTGGACACTCTATCTCCACATGCTCGGGCAATTCTTTAACGAATGAAAACTCTTCTTTACTGAACTGGGCCATTTTAAATGGTTAGGTTAGTATCATGTGATTGTTATTACAAGCACTTGATAACACTTAATACCCTTATCCACTCTTATATATATATATATATATATATATATATAATGCTTTCATTAAAAATTGATCAAAAATCAAGGATCAATATTCAAGAACTCCCTTGCTGAGACGATACACTATTTTTAAAAAATTATAAATAAAAATTAATTTGTATTAGTTTATGTATTACAGCTAGCTAATGCTTTCACTATAGCCTCATATCATATCAATGATGTACAGTATATAGTCTAGTCTAAATCTAGTTACACAGGTGATACATATACATGTATTTGCATGTCTGTTGCATAAAAAGCTTGAGCTGATTCTGATCAATGTTAAATTTTTCACCAAAATTGAAAAGGAAATAATTCTCAATTTTTATTACGTTTTCTGATGTATATACATGTACTTATGTTACGTAGAAAGTTTGAATTGATTCTAATTAAATTTGGATTTTTTACGAATTGTTAAAGTTGCTCCAAAATCGGACAAAAGTCCCTGTACTACTCTAAGAAGTCTGGTAAGCATAGGAGCTCGTTTTCCTGGTATAGCAAGGCTGCAAAAGTTGTGGCAGCCATTTTGTTTGGGGGTGAATCCTACTTAGTAACGCTACCGCGTTACTAATAGTACAGTGATTTTTATGAAATTTCACCAAAATTGAAAAGGATAGAATTCTCAATTTTTATTACATTTTCTGGTACATATACATGTACTTATGTTGTGCAGAAAGTTTGAACTGATTCCGATCAAATTTAGATTTCTTACTTACAAATTTTTAAAGTTGTTCCAAAGTCGGACAAAAGTCCATGTACTATATAGTATGGGGAATTTTGCCAAATTTGAAAGGTAAAGAACTTTTCATTTTTATAATTCTCCACCTCAAAGTGAGCAAGAATTTTGATTAAAATTTAGTAATTTTTACCTAAAATCAGGTGACATTATTTATTTATTGGCTGGCAATTAAAACTGCAAAAGTACCAAAATTAAACTACCCCGGTAGCTATTTTATTATTTTACAGGTTGTCCTTCTTTACAAAGATTGTGTCACTTATCTGTGTTGAAGATGTTTCCTGATCTATCATTAATTAATAAACTATTACCCATTCATATTATTAACGAACTAGAGTCAATCAAATATACTTCAATCATTTATGAAGTGCAATGAAATAATTTAATTTTTTGTTATTTTTAAATTTTGTTTTTAATAATTGTTACGACATTGTACCATCAAAATTGAGTGCAAATAACTCCAAAAGCACCCTTGATAAGTGTACTACCAGACATGACACAACATTTCCAAGTTTGGAGATACTAAGTATAAGTTTGAAGCAACCCTTCATCTCATTTCTTTCTCTCCCTCTCTGTTCTTACTAGTCATTGCATCATAGCTCAGGTGACCCCATATGACAAAACCAGGCTATTTGTGGGGAGAGATTGGTACCTTATCATTTTATCAAAAATGTACCGTTATAAGTAATTTTTGGAGGGATATTGAAGTGTGAAATTATTTATTATTATTCTTATTATTATAATAAATGCTATTGATGATTACAAGTAAAATAAACATTACTATAATTACAATATTAATGTCCTCAATTACAGTTAAAATTAATTATTATTAAAATTATTGTTGCAGTCTTGATCTTTTCTTTCTCTTATTCTTACTATCAATGGATACATCAGTGAATGTATTGCCAGTACTGCTGGTCACTGCAATATCTCTATGAAGCTGTCTCATGCTGTAGAGATTGTAACCATACACATCCTAATATGAGGAGAGATCATTATTCATGTACTCTAGTACTGCAGTGTCCCTTACTCTCAGTGTATCAATACTGGCTGTAATGTGAACACGCAATGAATCAATCACTGGTAGGAGGAGCTTAGAAGTGCTGATCTGGTTATGATGTACTCTAGAGGAAGAGATTAATAATTCTTGTAAAATGGCATAAACTAATTGAGGCAAGCAAAACTGAGCAAAACTAGTTTTAAAATAATACCAATCATCAATCAATATAATATACAATAAGCCACTGATCAAAGTCGTAAATTATTATTATAAAATAAAACATAACTATATACATATCAACTAAACTAACAATAGACAGAGGAAGAGGAGTAAAGGAAGATGAATCAATCACTATTGTATAACTGTGCCACTACATGGACCTGGCGTAAAATAGCTGAAAACCATGATAAGACTAATGTTATCTTAATTACTCCTTCTGGTACAGTAGCATCACCACTTCTCAACTCAATCCCATTAAGAATATCAGTAGGTAACTCTTGATGAGTAGCTTCAGTGTCTTCTATTAATGGAATAGCTTCATTTGTAAAATCTGTAAACATCTTTCTAAGTTTTGGTTTCAATTTATCAAATTTTCCTTCATGAAATGCAAGTAATATGAAGAAATGTACAGTCCTGTCAGTGACATTGTTGCCTCCTCTCACCAGTCTAGCTGACATGTGTTGACCACATGCACTAGTATAAAAATGAACTGCTGGTCTTCCTTCAGTAACATCAACTGGTAATAATGGATAGGAATTATCAGCTTTGGCATTATTGAGAACAAAATCCTTTAAAATTGTGTTTTCATTATTCAAAATTTCTACATGTTTTTCTAGTTTATCTACTTCACTTTTCAGTTTCTGATTCTTTTCTTCCAAAAGTTTTATTTGTTCATTTTCTTTCTTCAATTGTCCACAAGCTACAGCTAATAGTGTCATGTGTTTAGTATCAGCAGTGTGTACATGTACATCTTTACGTAATGGCTTATCATTACAACCAGCCCAACTAAACACACAATCTACTGGCTGATATTGACATTCTCCTTCTCTCTTCCCTTTATTAAGATGAGTAAACATATTCCTCAATTCTCCTTTCCATTGACATCCTTTCTCCTTATTACTGCAGTAGACCTCCAATCCATTGATAATACGTGAACACTTCTTGTCAGGTATTGCTTGATATTCCTTCTCCTTACACATAGGACAGGATCCATTACTAGCTTTTACTCTCTCAATACAAGACCCACAGAAATTATGTCCACAGCAGCTCACCAGATGAGGATCTGTCAAGATATTAAGACAAACTGGACACTCTATCTCCACATGCTTAGGAAAATCCTCAACAAAAGAAAGCTCTTCTTTATTGAGCTGTGCCATTGATACCAACCACTTGGCTGTATCAAATGGAAACAGAGTAATGAATGTATTTAGTGTTTGATTTAGAATAAATTCATTTTCCACTGAGAATAAGGTCAGATACACCCACTGATATCTGATATCTACTGGTACATGTACTAATTAATAATAACTCTTCAATTAGTACTACGTATGCAACTTCTTGTGTATATACAGTATGAATGTTTGCTTAGTATCATGTGATCCTGTCATTGTTATTACAATCAGTTGACATACTTGTACCACACTATGCAGCTTGGAAGCAAAAACAAATCAAGATGGAATCAAGCAAAAACCACTCAGTAGCAGTGTGTTCAAATTAAAAATTGCAACAAAAGAGAATAATTATTAACATTGACATTACATACAAACTATCACTTTAGAGTATAAATTAAAACTGCTTTCCTATCAAACTGTGCATATAAATATGTACCTAGTCTGATTTTAATTACTCCTTTTGGTACAGTAGTATCATCACCCTCCACTGGATCCTATTAAGAATATCAGTGGGTGCTACCCAATAATAAGCTCGAGTGTTGACTAATGGAACAACTTGACCTCCAAATGTTGTAAATATTGCAGGAATGTTTGGTTTAAATTTATGAAATGTTCCTTCATGAAATGCAACTAATATGAAACAATCTCCATAATGACTATTTATATTTCTTGTCATCAGTCTAGCTGACATGTGTCGACCACATGCACTCGCATA